GAAGGAAGGAAGGAAGGAAGGAAGGAAGGAAGGAAGGAAGGAAGGAAAAGCTAGAGGTCTCAGAGTGCCTTTTCTGACGATTCTATTAAAGAGATGAGGAGGGAAGGAGGGAGGGAGGAAGGAAAGAAAGGAGGAAGGAAGGAAGGAGATTGCAATAAGAAAAAGGAAAGGAAAGATAAGGACATTTCTGAATTAAAAGCTAGACTAGGGCGTGAAAATGTAGAATATTCTTGGCCAAACATGAGACTATTTCAAGGGAAGAATTTTCCTCTTTACAGAAGGTGTGATGCCAGCTCATCCTTCCCTTGCCTGGCTCCTCCAGCTGAGCTGGACTACATCTCCCATGTTCCCCAACTGGGGGAGAGCTTCAGCTGGAGCCAGGAAGGAGGCCGCTGGCTTGTAGGTGGCAATATCCCCACCACCACTAGCAGGCGCCAGTGATGCCCAATGGACATAACTACTACCAGCTCACCCCCTAAAATCTCGTTTTCCTTCTCCTACCCGCATCCCCCCCAAAAAATTCAGGATGGGGCGATGCACGTAAACCTCGCATTGCCCCCTCCCCTCCTTGGCCTCCACGACACGCGTCCCATTCCCACAACCCCAGCAAGATCCGTGTTGATCATTTCTGAACGCCAAAAAAAAAAAACCCCTCTCACCGTTCCCACCTGAAGCACGCATTCGCTATGGGGAACTCCCTCTCGCCCCACATTTTGGGGGGCTGGAAGGCTACCACGGGGGAGGCGGGGAGGTCTTACCTGAAACCAGCACGGAAGGGGTGGGGTTCTAAGCAGGGTGCCTAGCCGGGACCCTGGTTATAAACCCCCAATCCCCCCGCCCCCTCCTCTTGGCCGGCCTCATATGGACAGGCAGACCCATCTCATCCCCACACTCTCCCTCCCCACATCTCCAGCCTGGCCCCGAACAATTGGAAGTGTCATCATTGTTGTGGCATGAAGAATAGGAACAGGTTCAGGGAGGAGGAGGGGGAAAGAGAGACTTCAAAATATCTTGGAACAACAGGGCTGAGATTCCAGAGGGAGGGGGAGAAGGAGAGGGGGGGGGGTCCCAAGAAGGAGATATAGTGGGAGAGAATTTGCGCAGTGGCTACCCCCTCATTGGCTCATTGGCTTCGCTGCAGAATCCTCTCCTTGCATGCCACCTCGATGCAAAATTGTAGCGTTAAAATTAAGCGTTAAATTACATTGCAGGTACGAAATCTGGACTGCAATGCTCCAAATCCCCACTAGAGGGCTGCAGATGGTGCTTTATACTGCTCTCTCCTGGACACGTGGAGTATTGCAGCCTAGTTGTACATCATATAAATTTGGCGTCAGATGGCTCATTGGGTTCGCTACACAATCCTTTCCTCACTATACATTCCTTTCCTCGCTACACAATCCTTTCCTGCCTACACTGCAAGGTTGTTGTTGCAATCCATCTAAAAATAAAATAGTTATATTGTGAGTACCAAAACTGCAAAACTCCAGGTGCCCACTAGAGGCCTGCAGATGGGACTTTATACCACTCTCCGGTGGACACGAGAAGCATTGCAGCCTAGTGTCTATGCAGATTCTCAGTTAATCCTGTTGGGATTGCAGCCTAATGCGTTGTAGTGCCCTCTCATGAACATGAACAGTATTGCAACCTAGTTATTCATCATCCTCTTTAAATTTATATTGTTCTAACTATATAAATTTGGAGCGCTGATAGCTCATCCAGAATCCTATCCTTGTGTACAAGATTGTGGTTGCAGTCCAACTAAAACTAAAAGGGTTAATTACATTGCGAGTAGCAATTCCAAACTGCACAGCTCCAGATGCCCAGTAGGGGGCTGCAGATGGTGCTATATACGCCCCCTCGTGGTCATGAGGAGCCTAGTTGCACATCTTCCTCTCTATATTTATATTATTCCAGTTATATAAATTTGGAGCACTGATGACTCATAGGCTTTGCTACAGAATCTTCCCCTTGTACACGACCTGATGGAAAGATTATAATTGCAATTTATCTAGAGCAAAAATAATTAGTTACCTTCACCATCATCATCTTCTTCATTTAATGACTCCACAATCTCTTGCGGAGTGGAGTCTGGGCAGCTGAATGCAGCAAGCAAGTATTTTAATGTCCGGATGCCCTTCCTGTCACCAATGAGAAGCTTTGTTCATCAAATATATTCTCATCGTGCCCAGAGTGAGAGAAATATCAGCCTCTACCCAGGATCAAACTCACAACCTTCTGATGGTGAGGCAAGAGGCCATTGCACCACTCCCAAAATAATAAGTTACCTTGCAGGTATCAAATCTGGGCTACAATGCTCCAGATGCCCACCAGAAGGCAGCAGAGGGTACTTTATACCCCCTCTCAGGGACATGGGGTACACTGCAGCTTTATACCGCCCTCTCATGAACCCGTGGAGCAATTGCAGCCTAGTTATACATCACCGTCTCTATGCAGGTAGTCCTCAACATACAACCACAATTGAGCCCAAAATTTATGTTGCTAAATGAGACATGTGTAAAGTGAGTTTTGTCCCATTTTACGACCTTTTTGGCCATTGTTGTTCAATGAATCACTGCAGCTGTTAAATTAGTAACTTGGTTGTTCAGTGAATCTGGCTTCCCCGTTGGGTTTGCTCGTCAGAAGGTTGTAAAAGGGGATCGTGTGACACACACCCCTGGGGCAATGTGACCGTCACAAATATGAGTCAGTTGCCAATAGCCTGAATTTTGACCACATGACATCGGGATGTTGCAATAGTTATAAATGTGAAAAACAATCGTAAGTCCCTTTTTTCAGCGATATTGTAACTTTGAAAGGTCACTAAATGAACTGTTGTAAGTTGAAAACTAACTGTATGTAAGGCAAGTTCAGCTCAGCTCAGGCTTGGTTTGGATGGGAGACCACTAGGAGATCCAAGAGTAGTTATACAGACATACATACAAACATACAAATCAAAAGCAATGTTCCTTTTGTCTCCAAATCATTTTTTTTTTAAATATTCTAGTTATATAAATTTGGAGCACTGATATCACTTGGGTGGAGAAATTAATACTAGGCTTTTAATCAAGCAGTTTTAAATGACAGAACTGGAGAACATGAAGAGTTTCCGTTTAGGGAGAATTATTTTCCCATTAAAATTGAAACTAACCTCCAGTTCTTCTTCACAATGCAGAAAAAGAACAAACTAAGAAACCTAGAGAAAATATTTCTCCTAATTTTTAACAATCCCATTCTATTATATTAGATTTAAAGCCAGAAATATTTTTGTTAGATATATGACAAAGGGAATGTATATTTAATATTACATATTTTGACCGCAGTGAGAATTGTATTTGCACAAGACTGGAAAAATGAGGAAATCCCTACAGATGAAAACATAATTTTAAAAAAATATTAGTTTGTGTGGAAATGGATAGGTTAACATTAAAGATAAAAAACAAAGAAGATACAGAATATTTTTTTAACTTCGGATTGCTTTTACCAATGGTTAGATAAGGGGGCAATTAGAAGTTGGAAGAATACCACTGTACACAAGTAAAGAATATTATTATTACTGCCATATTATTTATTATGTATGTGTAAATCAACCCAGACAATACACTGTTTATTAAATACTCATTTATGTTAAAGAAAAATGTATAAATAATTTTTAAATGCCAATACATTATAATTATATTCTTCCCATTCTCCCCGTTAAGGAAGAAAGATTTGCACAACCTACAACTTTCTTAGATATAATTTCAGGGTGAATTCCACTCCCAACCATCAGCAGAGTTACAAATCTTAATTATTTCAGACTTCCACTTTGCATTCCCGGTTTAAATCCCTGCTGGGGGGGTGGGGGGAGAATGGTCTGTTAAAAATGCCTCCCCCTCCCACCCACACCCCACACCCAGGAACCAATAATAGCAACCTGGAAGGGCTTCTAAAATAGGAAGCGGTATGTGATGACAGTTTGAACAATATCTCTTGTAATCCCACATCTCTGAGCCAAAGGACGTCCCTCTGGCTTAAAAGCGAATCATCACCCTAATAATTCATGGAGGAAAGTAAGCAATGGAGCACCACAAGGTTCTGTCTTAGGCTCAGCACTCTTCATTATCTTCATAAATGACTTAGATGAGGGAATTGAAAGGCAACTTACCAAATTTGCAAACGATACTAAGCAGGAAGGAATAGCCAACACCCTAGAAGATAGGGTCAAGATCCAGAAGGATATCGACAGACTCAAACCCTGGGCTCTCTCTAACAAAATGAATTCCAACGTAGAGAAAAATAAAGTACACATATAGACTGGGGTGAAACCAGGCTCAACAGCAGTAGCTGTGAGAGGGATCTTGGAGTCTTAGTGGACAACCAGTTAAATATGAGCCAGCAGTGTGCAGCGGCAGCAGCCAAAAAAGCCAATGCAATCCTAAATTGCATTAACAGAGGGATACAATCAAGGGAGGTAGTAATACCACTCTGTAAGGCCTTAGTAAGGCCACACCTAGAGTACTGCATCCAGTTTTGGTCACCACACTATAAAAAAGATGTTGAGACTCTAGAAAAAAATCCAGAGAAGAGCAACCAGGATGATGAGGAGACTGGAGGCTAAAACATATGATGAACGGTTGCAGGAACTGGGCCTGGCTAGTCTAGGGAAGAGAAGGACCAGGGGAGACAGATAAACAGATCATCAGAGTTGGAAGGGACCTTATAGGTCATCTAGTCCAACCGTCTAGTCCAAGCTCCCACAACTTCTGAAGGCAACTTCTGTTCCATGGGTTGATCATTCTCACTGTCAGAAAATGCCTCCTGATTTCCAGGTTGAATCTCTCCTGGATCAGTTTCCATCCATTATTCCTTGTCTGCCCTTCAGGTGCCTTGGAAACTAGCTTGACCCCCTCCTTCCTCTCTGTGGCAGCCCCTCAAATATTGGAAGACTGCTATCATGTCTCCCCTGGTCCGTCTCTTCATAGGATAGCAGTCTTCCAATATTTGAGGGGCTGCCACAGAGAGGAGGAAGAGGTCAAGCTATTTTCCAAGGCACCTGAAGGCCAGACGAGGAATGGATGGAAACTGATTCAACCTGGAAATCAGGAGAAATTTTCTGACAGTGAAAACAGCAATCAACCCATGGAACAGAAGTTGCCTTTGGAAGTTGTGGGAGCTTCATCACTGGAGGCTTCCAAGAAGAGATTGGACTGCCATTTGTCAGAAATGGTATAGGGTCTCCCGCTTGGGTGGTGGGTTGGACTAGATGACGTATAAGGTCCCTTCCAACTCTGTTAAATCTGTAAATCTGTTCTTATTGCAGGTAGTTTTCAACTTACAACTGTTGGTTTAGTGACCAAAATTACAACAGCTTGGGGGAAAAAGTGATCTGCTTAGTGGCAAGAAAGTTCATCAAATGGGACAAAATTCACTTAATAACCACCTCACTTAGCAGCTGAAATTTGGGGTCTCAGTTGTGGTCGTACATCAAGGACTATTTGTAGTTTTAAGGAAGAGACCTCCTGTGGGAAATTAAAGCTGAGAAATGACTTGCCAGAGGCCGGGAAAAGAAACAATAATCTGGACTAATAAATTTATTGGGCTTTTTCTTTTCCTGAAAAATGCAGTTGTTTTTTTTAAAAAAATGCATCTTTCTACATCTACATTTAATTCAGTCAATCATTTTGCACCCAGGCAAAATTCAGAATACATTATGACACAAAGCAGGATAATCTCTGCAACGTGACAAAAACATATTCCTGGCGTTACACCCAGACATACACACACAATGCCCC